TCAGCGCCTGCAGAAACTGAGTCGTTGCTTTGGGGCTGCGAGCAGGGTTCCCCGCTATGCAGAAAAGGTGACTTCTTGCTTTTCTGGCGAGGATGGTTTGTATTTGCATGCACTCCGATATTAGACTGTTTTTGAAAAGAACGTTTCATTGCAAGCGCCCTCTAGTTGCATAGTGCATTTGGTTTACCTTCAACCTGGTGCTCGTTGAAAAAAGTAGTTTCCTTGGAAATATCACACGTTTCCGTCTGTGTCTCAGTGATTCATTCTGTTCTGTGAGACCGTTCTGCGGACCAGATTCTGGTTCAACCATTGAAAGCTTTACTTCGTTTGTAAAGGCTTTTACCTACTTGGCTTCCACGTATGTTAACAACAACGAATACAACCTACGGGCTAACGTTGTAAACTCCCCAATACAGTCAAGCAAGACGCTGGAGAGAATGGGACCGCATCAAGCTCATCAATGTACATTCAGTTTTTTCAAACACCGGTACAAGCTTGACACGACCGTGAAAGCTTAATCTATCAAAGCCTTTTCAGGCCTTCCTGTTATGTGTTGGTGGTTTTCAATGAGCTGCTCCCTACTTTTCTCCAAACAGTTGTGCTTTCATAACAACTGGCAACCATTGACAAGCAGAGCGGACACATCTTCGTGACACTTTTGGAGGTTTTCAGCTCATCGCGCATCCGTTCAATTTATAGTATGTGCGTCATTTGGTCTTGTAGCAGTTTCTTCAGGCACATATCCACTCTGCTTGCACATTGCACAAGCGGAGGAGAACAAAGACCTTGCAAATGCATACCGCTTGTTTTAGCTAATATAGCCCAAGCGGCCTAAAATGACCTCGCAACGTATTTCCCTCTGGGGTTAACTTTACACAAATAAGGCACAAGGCAAAGGAATTAGAGCGCTCCGGCTTAGGATCCAGGGTCCACTATATTTAGGGTGTAGGATTTACGGATTGGGCTTTACGGTTAAGTATTTAGTGTAGACAGTATTGGGCATAGTGCGAACGGTCTAGTTCGTAGGCCTTAGGTTTCAGTATTTTTTCACAGTATGTATATTCCACATGAAACTGTTGGAATCTATCTGCAATCAAATATTTCAACTATAACTCACGGTGCACACACGAACTCTCACCGGTTTCATGGCTTTGGTGGTGTCAAGCAGCAAAAAACTTGTGGCTCTGCGTACCTGGGCCTTGCCTTCCAACAATGGTTCGAAGCTGATTTAAAAGAAAGGATGCGCTCTACTTAAAATGTAAGAGTGGTCTTTCTAAGGTTGAAGCCTATTCTTTCGAACCGTTTGTGCGCACGTGAATTGCCAGGCACTGTAAAGATAGTCTGCAAGGGGCAACAACGGCTGTGCCGGATAGATCTTCCCCTGAGGAGCTAAGGAGACAAACATACGATTAAAGGGAGAATTTTGCTTCGCAATCCACTTCCAGATGTATTTGAGTTCATGAGGAGCAGGGGCAGGAGTAGCCAATGTTTTTTGATCATCAACAGGACATACTGCTGCTCACAGTTTCTTCCACTATTTCTATTTCGTCCCACCGCATCATATGCTGGGGCTCAGAACTACGCTACTACGCTTTTTTGAACTCATCATTGGTATTTATTTCGCATTTGGTTGTTATCATATGAATGAGGTGCGTAGAGAAATGTGTTGGCAGTTTCAGTGGTACTGTCTAGGGATTCGTTGACAGCCGCTTGTGAGAGAAAGGCCCCTGAGGTTCCGGGGAACCGCGGTGCCCCAAAGCCCTCTTTAATTTACATTTTTGGTGGTTTTCTCATAGCGCCCTCCAACCGTTACGTAAGTAGAATTGGCTCATAAAAGCACATATATGTCCGTTTTTTTTGTAAAACAACTGCTCCTGAGACTCTGCATCACCGCAGCAGGCTACAGTGGGCATATTCGGACTTGGTCCCTATCCTGTAAGCTCGCGCTGACGTTTGGAAGTTAAAAGGTCAAGCCTCGCACGACTGGAACTTCACCCTGCGAATCACCCTTATCTCTGTCCCTCAAGAAAAGTTAACTTACGAGGGAAGATTTTTGCGTTCAGACAACGGCTGAAGAGAACGCAGCCAAGCGTCCCCTAGCTATCATAAATAATTGCATACACTCAAGCACCGTGCATTCGACAAGCGTTTCTTCGTATGAGCCTAGGCAAACGACACAGAATTTAGAAAGACGCTCTCTCAGCATGCCGGAGATTAGAAGACGGGCCTAATGGCCGCCTGGCACTGACATAACAAAAGTGTCAAAAAAACGAATATAGTTGGTTGCGGTGATTGGCAGCAGCTGCACTAGTTAAAAGGCATGTAAAAACCCAAAAACGAGTAACCCAGAACTAGCCTATCCAGTATCCAAAGGGCCTGGCCATAACAGCCCAAAAGCCTGGCTCAGATGGAGAGCCGTGGCCTTTACTGGTTTTGGTTTTCGGCAATCTTTGCTGCAAACGCTGCTGCAAGGCAAGCTCATATGAGAGCCACATGGAGCATCTCTTCGAAGCAAGCACAAACCGTAAGTTACTGATAGAAACTTCCCTAGGTGTCGGCACTCAACATGCATGGAAGCTGAGATACACATACCCACCGTGCACAAGGTGTGCCTGTTTGGTGAGCAGTAGGCTCTCCATCGGTGTATGTACGAAATGTCCGTGACATGGATATATTTCATTGCATCATGAAACACGGTGATAAGCTCATCCAAACAAGATCCTTTTGTAGGGGAACATCATAACGAACGAGGGTGTGATTTCTTAGCATGTCCCGGGAGCACCTGCAGAAGGGTACAACCCCCTTAGGCAATTTGACCTTCCGTTGGAGTTTTGGTTTTAATTAGTAATCTCTTTTGCAGTCAAAATTGCTACACTGTACTAATGGTAGCAAGATTCCTCTTCGGGCAAATTCCGTTATTCATCAGTGATGCCTAGAGATGATGACGGCAGTGCCTGTGGCAGGACTGGCTGGGTGGACCGGACAGCAAACTGTCTGCGCTTTGGATACATACTCTTTAGAAAGTCGAAGCCTTAATGTGTCTCTGCAGAAAAACGTATGTTGAAACGAGTATAAAAATGTGGGACAACTTCTTGTCTGTAACCCAGAGATTGCAACACTTGCACGACAGGTACAGGAGCTATGAAATGTACATTGATGCCTCCATTCAGTATTGTAGTTCCATAAATTCTTGGTAATATCCAGTAATATGTAGGGACTTAATTCGATGGCAACTTCCCTATAGCGTATGCTTGTACGTCTGTGAACTGCAGCCGACCGTGGACCTTCGACTTCGTACCCTTGGCGTGTTGTGCGGGCGCTTCCGCGTGTAGCTGTCTAGATTCTCTGAGACTGTGCTGCCTATGGGTAGGAAAACTTAACAGAAGCCATATCACTAGTTTGGAGCTTTTCTTTTATTGGGATCCTAAAAGGCAAGAGATGCCAGTTCGTACCTACCATGCTTCCTGTTGAGGTCCACCAGTCGTGCTGCAAGACCACCCATACAGTGGCTATTACAGGTGATACAGGAAAAACAAACACACGCTTCACACCATTGTTGGATTTTTGTCTGCTCATTTTGTCAAAAGGACTCAATTTGGACTCATACATCCCAGGCCGGCATCTTTGGCTGGCCATCATGGCCCTCCCCGTTTCACGAGCGCGTGGCAGCGAAGCATGCAAAACAACTGTCTTGCTCTGGCCACCCAGTGGCAGGTCAGGATTTCGGGGAAGCTTGCAGGTCACTAGATCTCTCTTATGTGCGATGCTACTCCTCTCCATGCTTGTGGTATGCAATTTTTGCGAATTTGCTTCGTGTGTCTCTTTATCGGTGAGATCCAATGAAGACGCAACTCCCGAACAAGGCCAAGAAACTGCAACGCAGATTCCCGCATTTGTGATGGCTGGGCAGGCCCCTCCCACCACGGGTTCTGCAAGTTCAGTGATTCCCTGGTATACCCTAAGGACAAACCAGCCCCCTCGCCTGCTCCGCGTGACTGCATTGCCTGAGGAGAAGCCACAAGAGGGTGGTCGATGGTACCAGATCATGTTTAACTTCAAACCCTCTGTTCTCAAGTTGACTGCCGATTCAAAAGCCTAGACGAACGCTGGGTTGTAGTTTCACATGAAGGAGAACTGATCAACTGCAAGCTGATTCTGTACCTCGTCCTTTGAGGTGCGGAGAAGCAGTCATCTTGAGGTCAGCTCCGTTTGAACAGACTGCCGCTATTCCGGATCGCATTGCGGTTGGCTCTAAGTGGTTTTATACAGTGAAGCCCAGGCTGAGCCCAATATACATCCGCCTAACAGCATTGGCATGTTCGTTGAAAATCGGTGCCCAGCACCATTTACTACAGCACAGAATTTAGTTGATTTTGAACCAAACAAGCTGTGCATTTTCTTGCTTAGACCTGCATTCAACTTGGAATGTTTTAGACTTTAGGATGGTTCTCCCAAAAGGTGGTTCGGGTTTGACACTGTCGCGCCACTTGCGCCCTCCACTGGTGTGTGCTCGGGCTACTACTGTGTGCACATTTCAGCTTGGCTCTTCCACTTTGGAGGCATAAATGGGGGATTTAAACACGCTGCCTGATTGTGATAATGGTGGCACTCCGCTTACGATCAGTGCTCCTATAGGACCCGTGCGCTGCATCAAGAGATGCATATATTGGACAGCTCAAATGTTTTTTTTTGCCATTTGTATTCACGGCAGTTCTTTTACAGCTGTAAAGTTAGATTACGTGCACCAAGCGGACTCAGCTCTCTATTTCTTTGATGCATTGACACGCGTAGCTCGGCACAAGCTTGCACTGGAAAGCCCACCTGTTTCCACCCTTCCTGTGGCATTCCCTAATTTGCTCCTGCCAAACATTAGCAATTGGTGCAAGTATCTATGAGCGCCTCTATAGCAGTGCTAGTAGACATAATGCCTGATTACTTCCGAAACAAAATGCTGAAGGCCTTGCTGCGCCCGTATTACCACTTCAATTTACCTCGAAGGCTCACTTGGCTCCTGTGCTACAGGGCAAACTTGGAGTGGCAGCTGGGCCCTGGATGCTTGTCGCACCATTCCCATGGGATTCTTTCTCCGCAGCACCTCCTCGAAGCGATGCGACTGCTGCTTCCTCTTCACAACTGTGCATCAGCTCGACCTCAGCGTCGGTGTCTTCTGAAGATGCCTCATGTGCATTTTCTGACAAACGAGCCCCACGATGAGTCGCATGGGCTACTCTATGGCTGCAAGGGTTGGTGCATGGTATGGTTGAGCCAGGGGTACTGCTTAGGCTGCTCGTGGTGGCTGGGGCAGCTGAATAGCATCTGGGATCTGTTGCCCTGCGGACGGCTTGTGCAGGCAAGACACATTCCTCTGCGAGCCACTCGGGGACAGGAGTCGATTCATCTGGGTCTCTCTGGCTGCTGCGCCCTGTTGGGGGCGCCTCACTCGGGGGTGGCACGACAGCATCTCCTGGAGGCCGGGCAGGTATTCGACGGCTCAGGTCAACCATTTCTTGGCAGTTAGTTGCACTGCAGTCACTTCTACTGGTTTTGCCGCTCCTGCGTCTTTTATTGGAACGAAGGGGCGAGCTGAAGTTGCTTGCATTCACAGAAGAAGCACAGGAAGATCCGGTTGGCATGCACAGTCTGGCCTTTGCGACTGCAGCCAACTCGCTCATGGGCACGCCCGCCAGCTTCAAAGCCTGCAAAGCCTCTGCCCTCTCGCGCTGCCGACGGTGGGCACGGCCGCGGCAGCAGAAGAGCCAGCAAAGGATTACAATAAGAGTAGCTGCAAGGACGAGAATAGAGAAAGCAATAAAGCCAAGAATGCCTTCGCGACTGAACATTTGCTGCAAAATTTTCTGGAATCCGCCTACCCCTTCCCGGAGATCTGGGGTCATCGCTCGTGAGCATCTGAAGGGGAGGGCCGACCAGCTACCCTCAGAGCAAACAAGGCGGTGAACACGCCTCTGCGGGTAGTAGCCTCGGCTGCACGACACTTCGCGTTCGTCTCCCTGGTGTTGTCCCTCTCCTGTAACCACGTAGGCGTTTCCCAGTTGTTCAAACTCAGGACAGAGCCGATGGCATGTGAACGTCGGTCTTTGCATCTTCCATTCACCGTCAATACACTTTAACCACGAGCCCTCTTGACCCCTACCAGCGGCAAACCCCTCAGCGCAACGGACGAATACAGCAGAGCCGTGGGAAGCGCCATGAGTGGCAGTGCTGGCTGTCGTTGTTCCGTGGTATACCATAGAGGGAATTTGTTCTGCTTCCGCCTGCAAAGTACGCGGTGCTGCTCGGCCATGGAGACTCCAGCCTGGTCCGGAAACAATATAAGCTCCTTGTGGGTATAAGTAGGAGACAGGGCGGTCCATACATGTCCGGCGGCAGTCAAGACCGTCCTCAAGCACCCACTTTCCATTGTCGCAAACAGCCCGACCCAAATCTGCCCCTCGACCTCGAGTTGGTAAGTACCCCAAACCACAAGCAACCACCACCACTTCTGGGTCGCCTTTACCTGACAACCCCGTTCTCTTTATTTCCGTATATCGCGGGCCCAGTGATGCAAAGGATGCCTCAGTGCAGGGCTCGGGGGGGAGCTGCAATGGGAGCTCGTGAAGGCCTTCATCACCTCTTCTTGGAGGCTGGGGGCCGAGCCCTGCGGCAGGCGAAGTTATTTGCTCCTCTTCCAGTGAGTCCGGCACGAATTCCACTCCTAGTATGCCATTTTCGAGATCTAGGTAAGGAGCGAGGGATATACGGCCCAATTGGCGAAGCGCAGCCGACTCTACTTCCTTCACTAAACTCTAGGGCGTTGGCACACAAGCAAACAGCGTTCAGTGTGTGTGTGTGTGTGTGTGTGTGTGTGTGTGTGTGTGTGTGAGAGAGAGAGAGAGAGAGAGAGGCTTTCAGTGGTTTGTAGAGTCTGGAGAGCTCACGTTCTCAAGGGAGACAGCTGCAGAGAGTGCTGCGCTTACTGGTTGTCGCAGGAGCTGAGCAACTCGGGCTGCGTGATCCCTCCCTGCGTCAAGGATAAACTCTATAGTGACGCCTCGCGGGTCTGCCCTGGCAAAATGACGTGCAATATCCCTTTCTACTAGCCCCACCTTCCTGGTGAGGGCTGTGCCAAGGGCCTTGAAGATCTCATCTACTTTCCCGGCGTCTGTAAGGGTGACCTGGGAGTTGAGCCCAACCACGCGCAGCTCTAAATGCAACTGCGGCCTCGGCTCACCGAGACTGCAAGTCCTGTCTGCTGCAGCTCCGCATATTTGCTCTGCAAATGCCACCGTGCGCCTGACCTTCCAAGGGACCTCGCCAAGTGGATGGGCTGCCTCAGCCGCTGCTACGGCCCCTAAGATATCCAGGCCCATCCCCAAGCAACAGCCGCTTCCCCCAACACCCCTAGCTGTCTCGTACTGCTTGAAGCACTTGCCACCACACTCAAAGTCCGGGTGGTAAAGGCTACATGTAGGGTCTACGAGGGAGGAAACAGCAGCGTGTAGTTGAGGAAACATTGATGAAGGCAGGCAATCCCGGCCGTCCCATCCGCAGGCTTCGTTAAAGCATTCGGGGTCGCACTGCCCATCCTGTGTACACATGAAGGAAACGCTTTGAAGCTGGCCTCAGCAGCAAAGTGGAGGTATGCAGTCTGTACATGCGTCTGGTTGAGTCTTACTTGGAGGAAAGAGTGGGGGCACTGACAATCTGGGAGAGGCACCTCCAGTCCTTGCGCAGCCACTTTGTGTGGGTTTGCTGCTCGGTACCTGTCAAAGAAGTGCCTCCCACAGAAGTCTCCCCTTTCGTTAGTGACGCAATAGAACCGCCCGTAGGCTCTCATCACGGAGCCCAGCAAAGAATGCCAAGGATCTCTGTATCTCTCCCCGTAGGCTTCCACTATTGCCCCAACAGCCCCAGTTAACGGAACAAAACAGCGGCTAGCGCATGGTTCCAAAAGAAGAGATGGAGTTCTTATTGGGCTTTCTTGGGCGAGCAGGACGAGGGTCTGCTGGCAGTAGTCGTTCTCAACCTTTGTGCACACGAGATTCAGGCCTTCTTCAAGAGTTTCCGTCAGAGGGCCTTGGAATCGGGATAAGGTGCCTAGGCGCCTTCTAGGCGCCGTCCCTAGACTGTACTGCCGTCTCTCAGGCGGAGTCCTGATGCTTGTGTCGGTTTGTGCTTGCAAGCCACTGAAAACGGCTGCCGCGGAGACCGCCGCTTGCATGTGGTACTGCGCCCTCTCGCGGGCGTCAAGAACCCGGCGAGTGTGTTGATAGAATCCCTTACTAGAGGTGGTACCCACGTTTGGCCTTCCTTCAAGCCTTCGAGCCGCAGCAGCCGCAGCTTCCGTAACTCTATCGAAAGACCTGGAGGGTTCTGCCGGAGATGCAGAGACGTCCACTTGCCTCCCTTCATCTGTCGGTGCGTGTAGGAGCTGCCACGAAGTTTGAAGGAAGGTCATGTTGTCAAGATACCTCAGATTGCTCCTGAAACAGCTTGTTTCCCCGCAGATATCATCTAGTTGGCTTGACGTCTTTGAGCCAAGGGAACGAAGGTCAGCAGCCTCCAGTGCCTCTTCCACTTGAGCAAAGCAGTACCTGGAGGCGTTGCTCGTGTTGTCCTTGTAACACCATGCTTCTACCACGGCTTCAACAGCTTGCACGAGGTCGCATGCAGCCCCATTCCGACCTTTGTGACTGTCCACACGAGAGAGGAAGGACGCCCAGCAGTACCGACCCTCCACGGGCTTCTCACAGAATGCCGCAACTGTCTCCTGTGTCAGCCGGCGACCGTACAGCAGAGCTCCACAAGGTCCATCGACAAAGACCTGCAAGCATTTCCAAATGAAGGGAAGCATTCAACATTGCAACGTATTGTATTCGCAGACGCATCCGGCGCTGCAGAGTACCGACTTGCCGCTAGAACACTGAAGGCCAAGCATTACTGAGGCGGACGCCTTGCAAGCTTTACTGCCGCTCGAATACAGGGTTAAGGAGCTTTTGCAGACGAATGTTGGGGTGAGGGTGGACCATGCGTTGCCTATATGGGGGCAAAATTTCTTTCGTACCGTACCTGCAGCTCTTCTTGGAGGCTGCAGCAGCTGTTGGCGTCGGATCGGTAGCTCAGAGGGTCAAAACAAGCTCCGCGCAAAGTGCTTACTCCGGGTGGAAGAGGCATATGCACGGGTGGAGCTTCCCCAAATGAATAGTCCACTGAGGCATAAGAAGGAGGCCCTGGTCTTCTTCCATCCCGGTCGAGGATGCGGGGCAAATCAACTGCCTGAGACGACGGTATTGGCAGTCCAGCAGCGGCGAAGATAGCTTTAGAGTGAGAAGCTGGCGAATACGACCCAAAGCCGCTTTCCCAGAGGGCTATCGGTAACCGTCGTTGTTCAGTGCCTTCTACTGCGAAGGTGAAGGGGCGTGAGGTGAGGGCCATGGCAGCTGAGACGAGGGATTTGTCGGTAGGATCTATCAATGTCACTCCTCTCTCTATGAACTGCTGCTTCAAGGCCGATAAAAATCTTTCCGGGAGATCATCTGTAAGCAAGCTTGAAAATGGCACCGCTGTTCTAGTCCAGAGGACCCCGGCGTCGATGAGCAATGGACAGGACGACAACGGAGACCCTAAGACAGCCTGGAGCCGCCGACGGTTATCTGCGGAGGCACGCACAGACAACCGTAAGAAGATCGCTTCACTTTAAACCAGTCTGAGAAAAGCTCCAGGAACGGCAGACGACAACAGTCGCAAACACACAACAAGGATCTGTCAAAAAATAATCCCGATGGTGGCAGTCCCTGCTGGCGTCCAGCAGAAAACAAGTATTTAGCATGGCTAAAGAGTTTAGGGTGAATAGTAGACCTACCACAAACCCCACAAGTTTTCCTACATGCGTCCTTAACCCTGGCTTCCTTCGGAAGCCAGTCAGGCAGCTGCTTTTTTTGAGCAGCTGCCAGATCGTGAAGCTTGGAGTCACAGAACGCTTCCATCATGGCGCAGCTATACCCCATTTCGGCTACACGGGGGTCGTCCTCGCAAACTCCCGAGGCCCTCAAGCCGTCATTTCTTCGGTCGAGCCCTACCGCCAATAGCCTCAACTCATCTGGCGGTTGCACCCTCAGGGCAGCGGAAAGTGCAGCAAACAGAGCAGGAACCGCCCGGTACTGCAGATCCTGAACCACATTCAACAGCCGGAGTAGACAACAGCAGCAGCAGCGTGGGGCAGTGCTTATGAGGAAGCAAGCAAGACACAAGCTTGCTACTAGAAGATATCTGGTGTGGTGCAGAGTTGTGCTGCGCCTCCTAGTGTCCTGCCTGCAGTTTGGGCACGCTATACTGGTCAGCCCAGGGCCAGACGCAGTCGTGTTACCCCTGCGTTTCGTATGTAAGCCTTGATATACTGAACGGTGACTGTTCTGGGTTCGCAGCGGAGTTTCGGCTTGCTGAACGTTCCATCTTGGCAGATGACCTCTTCTCCGTTTCTGCCTGCTACACGCACGAATTCAGCGCGGCACGAAAGTCGGCGAGTGGCCCCGTGGGCAGTACCTCTGCCCTCCTGAATGACGCCTTCTCCAAGGGCTTTAAGTGGAGATGGATCACAGGGGGCGCAAGGCCTGCAGCGGCCTCCGCAATCAATGCCTTCCTCGTCTCCATTCTGGAAGCCATCGAAACAGGTGGGGACATCTATGCAGCCTCCGCAGTCAAGCATGCACGCGTCCCGCACGGTGGCGCTTGGGGGAACCCCTGGGGGCAGTGGATCATCGCTGAGATCTGACAGCTTAGCGTTGCAGCCAAGAGGGGACGCCTTCACCAGAAGGGCGCAGCTGAGGCCCGCCCTCTCTACCATGGGGTTGTTGCGGCAGCTTCGGCGCCGTCCGGCTGCGTCTACCGTCCCTCCTCCCCCAAGTGAGCTTCCGCAGAGCCCGCAGGTCTTGGGGCAGAAGTCTTTGATCATGTCGTGGCGATGCAGATGGCGGGGAAGAGAGAGAGACTGGGGCAGCAGCTCTCCCAGAGTCGTTTCACAGCCCTTGCTTGCGAAGTCAAGCAGCATTGCGCAGGAATACCCCAGTTGGGGGAGGCGCCCGTCGTCGAAGCAGTCTGATGGTGTTGCTACACCGCCTGTAGCGGTTGCTGCTTCCGGCCCTTCGGCGCCAGCAACGAGAGGAGGACACGCATTACAGGACTTGAGGCATGCGTCACGGACTCGCGTGGTGGGAGGGACTCCTGCTGGCAGCGGTTCTCCGCTGAGGGAGGATAGCAGGGCCTCACAGCCTCCTCTGCCTTCTGCAGCCGCAATCAGCATCTCGCATGAATATCCCATTTGTTCGACCATTGGATTATCTACGCACTTCTGAGCTGGACAAGCTCCGCAGGTGTACGGACAGGCGTCTCGGAGCGTAGCGCCTTTGGGAACGTCGGGAGGCAGAGGTGTGCTAGAGAGAGACTCCAGCTCCACCGAGCAGTCGCCGTTTAAAAAGTCCTTAATTTGCCGACAGGTGTAGCCTGAAGGAAAAGTGGAGGAGCGAAGCGGCTTAAGATTCAAGTGGCCCGATACAGCTGAAAAGGGGATTGGTGCTAGGATGCTATATTTCCGGAGTTGGGTCCCCCTGTGCTGGAGCGAACTGGCCCACCTGTTTCTTGCTCCACCATTTTGTTGTCACAGCAGCCTCCGAGGCAGCTAGGTTCCTCCTCTAGTGGCGGGCGAAGTCGCGTCAGCACTGACTCTGCAGGGCAAGCACACGCAAATGGCAAGAGGACTCGAAGGGTAGATAATCCATGACCTTGAAGTGGCGCAATTCCCAGCACACCTGTATATTCCAGGGCTTTGCCTTCACCCTCTTGGGATTTTCCCATTAGGCAGCACATTGCCCTTTTCTAAGGATGTCCTGTGTACCTGACGACTGCAGCTTCTGCAGGCGTCATACTTACTGTGTGGCTGTAGCTGCCGTGGAGCTTTCTTATTATGCATCGACCTACTCACCTTCACAGTAGTCACATGTGTGAGGGCACGCATCACCAAGTGTAATGTCAGATGGGGTTCCCTGGGGCCAATGCTTCTCCTCTAGCAAAGCCGAAAGGGGAGCTGAACATCCCCCAAGTCCCTGGGACTGAGCAAGTGTCAACAGCAACTTGCATGAGGAGCCTGCCTCCCCCACAAACTCAAAGTCCGTACACGCAGCTCCAGGGGGGGTTGAAGGCCGCTGTAGCCTCGTGGGGTCTGCGGACAGCGGCATGCACGGAATGCCGACCGCAGTAAGCCGCCTTGAAGGGTAGGGAGTGTCTTCCCCTAAAACTGCCAAGGACTCGGCTTTGAGACACTCAGTTTCCTGTGCACTGCATAGGGTGTGCAACCCAAGCCTCAAACTGGGATGCCGCGTCAACGCAGCGACAGACCAACCCCCCACCCGCCCCAGCATTCACCAGGAATGGAAGGAGCACCCGCAGAGCAGCCAGAGAGCCGCGTGAAAAGTTCAAAAAGCATTGTGTCCATGTGTCGAGGATGGAGGTATCGGTTTACCTCACGTTTTCCGATGCCAACGTACCGTCGCATGCATTGCACGTCTTGGGGCAAGCATCCTTAACCCTCGTTTGGTGGGGGATCCCAGGCGGCAGTGTTTGGTCTGGCTTGAGGTCTACTAGCCTTGCTTCGCACCCTTCCCCGTCCTCTTCAGCAACAGCCAGCAGAAGCTTACAGCTATAGCCCATCTCAGCCACCAGAGGATCGTCTTGGCACGACGCCGAATCGGTTGTCCGCGAACCAGGGCGGCGGAGTCTGTCAGGATCTATGCAGGCACCCCACAGTTGCAACGCGCAGCTCAGGAACCAATAAGAAGGTGGACTTTGCCTAACTGTCCCACTCAGTGTACTCACATTGTATTGTTACGTTTTGTCGGCCTTCCCAAGCCAAGATGTCCCCTTCTAGTGCCTATGAGTGCGTTGCGCTGTATCCACTCTAGGTTCATATGGACTACTTATCCAGTACTGTTCGCTACTGCTCCCCCCGCCCATACCGTTGCAAGCTCTACAGGTCTTGGGACAGGCATCTTTAACCCTTGTGATAGGTGGCACTCCAGGTGGAAGGGCTTCGTCTGGGCGCAAATCCTGCAGGCGACTGTTGCAGCCCTCAGGTGTCCCTTCCGCGACCGCGTAAAGAACCTTGCAGGTGAATCCCATAGCCTTGACCTGAGGGTCGTCTTCGCAGGCTGTTGCGGGATCGTCCTCCTCTTCTTCCTCGTATTGCTTATGCTGTTGCTGCTTGTCTAATTCGTGAGGGCTCATAGCAACGAATTCTTCTTCGTCGTCTTCGTAGGTATCCTCTGCTTCTTGCTGCGGAGCTGCGCCAACCTTGCCAGCGCTTCCACAGTCGCCTTTGTCGAACTGACAGGCGGCAACGTTACAGGCTTGGTCGCAGTACCTATTCCCGAGGAACCATAAGGGACAGCCTCTAGAGCACTGCTTGCAGAGCCCACACGTCTGAGGGCAGGCGAGTGCAAGGGTGGCGTCTGGTGGTAAAAAGGAGGGGAGGTCCACTCCCGCATCTGCCAGTAAGAAGTCGCACTTGAGCATCTTCTTCAGGGCCTCACAGGATTTGCCGGACTTTTCCTGCACCTCCTGTTGGTCTTCGCACACCATCTCCACTCCGGCAACTACAGTCACAGGGGGACCCTGCGGCACTGCCTCCTCTTCTTCAGATTCATCTGGTCCCAGCTGCTGCGCTTCCAGCTGTGAGCGCGTCTCCTCATCAATGCATTTAAAGGTGGCTTGAAGGGGTTTGCTGCCGTTTTGTGTCCCAGCGACGCCCACCTCCCAGCTGTCTGTGCACCCAACAGCCGCATCACCTCCAGCCGCCTCTGCAACACAGTCCCCCCCGGTTGCTGCTGCTGTTAGTCCTGAGTTTGGGGCAGCGGCGTTGGGGTCCGCCTGAGTGATGCGCCAAATAAGGCGTTTGATTGGTTTGTTTACTGTCGGGGGAGTTTCCTGTGCCCACAGAAAGTGAGCAGATGGGCCAAGAGTGTCTTGTAGGAAACGGGGCAGACTGCCGTGGGGGTCCCCTCTTAGGAAGATGCCATTGAAAACAGCAGCGTCTCCAGTAAATCCACTGACAACAATGAAGGGACAGGGGTCTGGAGCGCACGAGGGAAGCACCAAGGCTTCTTCCTCGTCCTTTTTCAGAGGGAGGTCAGGAGGTTCGAGAGTGAACTCGCCTTTGCCCACGCATGTGATGGCTAGCTGCCTCATGGAAGAGAAAGGAGACAGGCGCATGTCTGGGTCTGCACAGCTCGCTATGAGGGTTTGGCCTTCGGTCATCATAGAGGTTGCGGGCTCCAGTCGTATTCCTGGGGGCAGCCGCCCGAGGGCGCAATCCCCGCCGCAGTCACCCAAGTCCATCTGGCAGGCCTCATTGTTACAGGGTTCGTCGCAGTGCCTGTTTCCAAGGTCTCTCAACTGGCAGCCAGGGGCGCACTCAGCGCAGACCCCGCATGTCTTGGGGCAGGCGTCGCTGACGCGGACTTCGGGCGGCAGGTCGTCGGGAAACGGTTGATTGTTCTCCTCCGCCAGTTCCTGCAGCCGTCGGTGGCAGCCCATCGCCAGCAGCACCTTGCACTCCACCCCGGTCAACAAAGGCACGTCTGGGCTGTCTTCACACGGAACGCCAGGACAGCGGTGGAGGCCACAGCCCCTGCGCTGCTGCAGCTCTGGGCAGTCAGCTCCATTCCCCGTTCGCGGCAGCAGCACCTGTCTCTCCCGAGTGTGGACGCCTCCGCCGCACTCCTTGGTACAGGCTCCCCATTCGCCCCACTCAGATACCTTGCAGTCCGAGCCAAAGCAGCTGAACTCGGCGCAGGGCTCAAATTCCTCAAGCGAATCGCAAGGATCGCCGCCGTTTATTGGCGCCTCCACAACCTCCACCACAGCATAACACAACGTAACACAGCAGAGCAAAACATTCACACATACGTACCTATATATATATATATGGAGTCGAGACATTCAGGACAGGAAGCAGCTTGGTAACACATGCATAGATAGCAGAGATAGGGGATGTGGGTGCAAAGACCAAAGGGGGTCTCCCATGCACACAGCACAGGCACAGTGGCGGTTTCAGCAGTGACAACTTCGGCACGCCGTCGTCTTCTCTGAGTTGTTAGACTCCCGCGGTATCCCTCGCATTTAGAGAAAGCACCGGTGGAATCGCCCCGGAGGCCGTACCTCTCTGTGTCTCTGCTTGTAGCCGCCTCCACAAGTGGCGCTACAGGTACCCCATTCGGACCAGCTGCTGAGGAGACAGTCTCTGATGCACGGTTTATCCACAGAGCAGTCTGCTGTTTGTTCTGTCTCCATGCAAGGTTCGCCCCCAAACTTCGCTTCCGATAGGATGCGTCGGATTCTCCGCTGCTTGCCCACGTCGCACTCTCCCTCGCAATCTCCCCAACTACTCCACGGTGTGTACGCGCAGTTTACAGGGCAGGGGATATCTGCGTTGCAGCCGCGTTGGACTTCTTCAACTGGGGGACATATGCCCCTTGCATGGGGCGGTGGCTCCCTCAAGATCTCTCTATAGCGGCGCCGGGTCGTCTCGCTGCCATCCGGAGGGAGACAAGGGGAAGAACACTCTGTCCATTCACTCCATTCGCTCACGGGGCAGGAGGGCTCGCAGGGCTGCAGGTTGCAGGCCTCTGTGTCTTCCTTACTGCCAGTGCAAGGTCTGCCCCCTCCCACCTCAAAGGCCTCCACTCGGCGAAAGCGCTGTCGGGTGCCACCACCACAGAGAGCAGAGCAGTCGCTCCATTCGCTCCACTCCCCCAGCTCGCAGTCCGAGGGACAGGGACCTGCAGGGGAAAAGCAGGCGGCGTCCTCTCGAGTTGCACCGCAGACCAGTCCTGGAGGATCCACAGAGGCGGCTGAGGTGATGCGCCGTGAGCGGAAGGTCTTCCCCTCCCCACAGATAGCGGAGCATGTTGACCATTCACTCCAAGGGGACATCTCACAGTCCTTCGCTGCATCCCACACGAACCCAAAACTTCACAAACACGCGGCGGGTAGCATTTCTAGTCCTGAGCTAAGCCCTCTTTCTCTCGCTACTGTTACTACTGCTTCACGATTGCGGGCTGCCGCGAGAGACTGCCTGCAGGGACTCAAGGGCCAGGCAGCTTACGACACGGATACGACCCGCATACTTGGGTTTCCGTGAGCACGGGACACTCGCGGCCGCCGTTGGCCGGCTGTCGCACCACTGACCTCTGGCGCTGCTGCTGACCGCCCCCGCAGGTGGTAGTGCAGCTGCTCCAGGCCCCCCAGGCAGTCACCTGGCAATCTACAGCTGAAGCCGCATGAGGCACAAAAAGGACAATAGAGGCCGTTTGCATCGGGAACGGTCGACAGCTAGAGACGAAAAACAGTGAAAGGCAGCGAGGGGACAGCACGCTAAGCCAAGGTTGTCTTGCTTCCCCCTTTTGGGGTCAAAAATTTTGGACACTAAGGGAACACCACTTGCTGCCGCCTAATCAGGGTTTTTGTTTTGGGATATAAATGTTCGTGAGAGCTCGCGTGTCGGAGCCTACGGCATGGAGGTCCCTGACATGCTTCAAACCGCTCGGATTCTGGACAGAGGTGCTGCAAGACTCTGCCACTGGCGTCTTTAGGGAAGGCGAGGACGACGCGAGAGGAAAGCCTGCGGCCGGGCCCGCAGGTGGCATCGCAAGGCCCGTACTCAGACCACTCTCCCCAGACACAGTCCGGCACCGCCTGCCCTACCATGGCCTCGCAGGGTGTTGTGGCGCAGGGCGCTTCCTCAACAAGGTCTCTGCAAGCCTTTCCGTTCCCCTGGGGAACCCGCGTAATCTCGCGAGTGCGCCGACGGCTTCCTCCCCCGCAGGGCCTGCTGCATGCAGACCACTGAGACCAAGGCCCCACCTGGCAGTCCACGTCGCAACGGAAACCCAGAGTGGAACAAAGTAAAGACTCCGACAGACTCGAAGGGTTTGGGCAGTCCACAGCCTCTAGAAGCACAACGCGGCTCCGCGTAGTTGTGGGGTTTGTCACCCCAACCTGCAAGGAGAGAGCAGAAATACATTTATTAAGGGTTACTGCAGTCTTTCGCTGCTACTGATTTCTCAACAGGATATCAGCAAATACCCTATGAGGTATTTTGCCTCTTTCTATTTCCCTTTTGTTTCGAGTGGCTCCGTGCTTTCCTGAAGTTGCATTCGGCCACCACCCTTTTTGCTTGCAGCAGGTGGAGTGGACCGAGATATATTTATGGTTTCCTGACTGGACGACTGTGCTATGGTGCGGTGCAACGCGCGATCTAAGGTGCAGATAGCAGCGGTGCCGTAGGCCTGCATAAGCAAGCCGCGAGGCGGTCAGGCACTGCCTGGACGCGCCAGTTTGCTGGCTGTACAGACGAACAGCTCTGCTCACCTGCTGGCACAGGGCGCTGCATGACGCCCATTCCGTCCAGTCGCTGAGGATACACTTAGGGGGGCAGTGGCTCCCGCACGGCCTCGTCTCCTCCAAGGTGCCGCAAGGGCTTCCCGTGTTTGTTGGGGCCTCTAGCACCTGCCTGCTTCTGTGTTGCTCGCCCAGACCGCAGGGGTGGGAGCACTCACTCCATGCAGACCACTCGCTAAGGAGGCAGTCCACCTTGCAAGGGCCGCGGTCGCACGGCCGTAGCTGGTCGAGAAGGGGACACTGCTCGCCTGCCCCCTTTGGAGCTTCTAGCACTTCCCGCATGCGGCGCTGCGTCCCCACACCGCAGGGCACGTTGCACGGAGTCCACGGGCTCCACTCAGAGGCAAGGCAGTCAATGGCTGCAGACGGGAGACCACAGGAAAAGGCGACCTACCACTGGGGACAAGAGGGCACAGCACATACAAGTGCAGCAGCCGGGAAACGAAAGACAACTCCAAGCTGCACCCGGAAGATGGGGATAAAAGAAGAGACAGACCAGCGCAGTTGGATGCCATTTATAAGAAAAGACAATAGAGACCCAAAGTAGGGGGGTGTTGGATGGCAAGGTAGGGAAGGATGGCAAAGAGGCACCGCAAGAATATGGTAAGTTCGGTGGAAACTTAAGCTTGTACATCTCCAACGGAGGTGGGGGTTGCTTACCGCAATCATGTAGGTTGCAGGGAGCTGTTTGCGAACTGGGGGGACAGTCCGCGTCTGGCTCGAGCGCGAGAACAGTCCTTGTTCTTGTTTTGCTGCCGCCCTCACAAGGTTTGCTGCATTCTGTCCATTCGCTCCAGTCCCCCAGGTGGCAGCCGCCGTCGCAAGAGAAAGTGTTGCACTCTCTCGTCTCCAGCAATTCAGGGCATGGCTCCCCGTCTTCTACGGGGGGAGACAGCACGCTGCGCTGGCGCGTCTGCTGGCCCCCGCCGCAGGAGGCCCCACATGCAGACCATTCCGTCCACTCGCTCACGCGGCAGTCTGAAGCGCAAGAAGTCAGGTAGCATCGGCGCTCTTGTTGGAGTTCGGGACAAGCTTGGCCTGTGCATACATCGCACGAGGGAGGCAAACCCAGGCACAGACAACCAGCACTCAAGATGCGAAGCTGGGGTTTCTTTTCTTCGCATTAGCGGAGTGCTTGTGGACATTTTGTATACTAAACACCCGAGGGACAGCCTCAAGCAACAGAGAAAAAAGCGGCAGCCCTGATTTCTGCAACGCTGCGGTGAAGGCAGACAACAGCAGCAGCTTGCCTTTTACGTCTGGCTCTTTCAGCACCGGCCTCTCCCGTACGCTGAGTCCGGGTCCACAAGATTCGGAGCATGCGGACCAATCAGTCCACGGGCCCACCTGACAGTGGCTGGGGCAGGGCACCTCTGCATTGCAACCTTCACGTGTCTCCTGCACAGACAGGAGTGACAAGGTGCGCATCAATGCCCCTGTTTAGCGTACGCCCCGAGTCTCCCACAACTCAGGTCCTCGACGCATCTACTATTGCCCATCAGCCCAACACTTCAGATCAACTCGGTGGAACGGCTCAGCCCGTCAACACACCAAGTACGCATAAACCAAAACTCAGGAGAGCATGCGGCAACTCCTTATATCGACATATGGCCAAAGGAGCGCTAAGGAAAATCTGCTCAGGGGCCGTTTGTTTACTATTGAACCCCTCCAGCAACGTTGGGACTGGAAGCTGCAGAAGCACCGCGGCTGCCACACTATGCACCCGGGGCAGCAGCAACAGCAGCCTTTTTTCAGTAGCGGACTGCATGAAGTACTCCAAACGTATATTACACATGCACCCGCTTCACCGCAGATGCCACAAGCGGCTCCAGCTGCACTGGCTAGAGAGACGGCAGCAGCTTGCGGAGGTCCGCTGCTGTCGCCTTTAGTAGAGGACACAGCAGCGTACCGCTGCAGGTATATCCTCAAAGGAAGCCCCGTGTGTCTCCATGGGTTATTATGCTGTGGGCACGCTGTTGTTAGTTGGACCTCATTCTGGTGATTATCGGGGCATCACCTTTGTGTGCTTGCGTGTGCAACTATTTAGAGTGCCATAGATACGGCAGAGTTACCTCGAGTTTGGGGCAAGGGGCCCCTCCTTGTTTAGCTCTGCTTTTGACCTCTCTGCGTCTGCGCTCTGTACCGGGGCCCCCGCAAGTGACACTGCAAGGCGACCACTCTGCCCAGGGCCCTACAACGCAGTCCGCGCTCCAGCAGTCTCCTCCGTCGAATTGGCAGGCAGCGTTGTTGCAGACCTCATCACAAAGAGTGTTTCCGAGGAACCAAAGGGCGCATCCGGGAGCGCATTCCTCGCAGAGACCGCAGGTCATGGGGCAGGCGTCTGCGACGCGACTGAAGGCCGGAATGTTTGCAGGCAGTCTCCCGTCTGGAGATATGTCAATAAGCCGCTTTTCACAACCCAAACGACCCCCAAGAGATCGCGCTATTAGCCGGCATTTCACACCAAAGTCCTCAACGCGCTCGTCGTCTTCGCAGATCAAGCCATTGCTCTCCAGGAGAGGCCGCGAGCCGCGCCCTCCGCCACCCTCCAAAGGGTCCCCCAACTCCAGAGACAAAGCTGGGGGCTGCGTAGACCGACGCCGCCCCCCTCCACCTCCCACGTCAGCTCCGCCAGACGAATTGCCGCTCCCAGACCCGGAGCGCTGCGACCCAAATAAACCCCCTATGCCTTGCAACCGCCTCACGGCGAAATCAAACACCTCCGACTGACTCAACACCTTCGCATCCTCAACTTGCTGGTCACCGGCTACCACTAGTGGCGCCTTCGAAGTTGAATCACCAGAAAACCTCACTCGCTGTTGCTGCTGCTCCTCCTGCTGCTCTTGCTCGGCCGCCTGCTGCGGGCGATGCTGCTGTCCATCTAGTGGACCCTGAATTGAAATGGGGAAGGCTGGAGCCTGATTTCGCCTGCGGTAGAAGTAGTCTGGGGCTGGGACAGTGTAGTTGATTAGGCAGCTGGAGTGCATGAGAGGGCAGTCGGGGGAACCAGAATCAGTTGCTGCTGCCACCTCTCGAAATGCCAAACATCCTCGGGAGCAGCAGACGGTTAGCCATATTCCAACAAGCAGAGAAAGCACCCAGGCACCTCTAGGGAGCACTCGACGGGCATGTAACCAAATGCACTTCCGGCAGGGCATCGTGAAGGAAACGGGTGGAAGTGTGCTTCTGCAAATCCGACGTGCTGCCGCCCCAAAACTGCTGGGCTGGGCCTCAGCAGCACGAACCAAAGCGGCAGAACCGTTACAAGCCCCAGAGGATTCGTCAACATGCGCTATCCTAGACTCCGCACATGCGCCACTCCAGCCTGCACAGGTTGAATCTACCTGTAGACAAGCAGCCCTGCGGCGTGCGCGGCGGTGGCATGCAACCCCATTGCTGGCTTCACAGTTTCCGCAAGCCCCCGCACCCCCGCTGCTGCCAGGTACGTCAACAGGAAGGTCTTGAGAGCATGCACCTGTAGATGCAGAGAGCAAGGTATAGGAGCTGCTGCAGCCGGGCAACCGTGATGACTCAGCCGCCCAGTCTCTGCGACTCTGCCTCATGGCATCGGACGTGATAACCCAAATACTCTACAGATAGCAGAAACAAAAGCGGAAAAAGGGAGCCGAGCGTGTGGGCTTCCCTGTATCCAACGCCCCTGACAAGAGCTAAAACGAGGGAGCGATCTTGCCCAGTGTTTAGAGACGGCCCGTTAGCGCAGCAGCCCCTCGGATGGTGGCTGCCATGGCCTGGTTGGGGGCTCTAAAGAGGCTGAGCCCCCCAAAAAACCGCATGAAAAACCATCTACAGAGTATTGAAAGCCCTGACGATGTTGTATGGAAAAGCTGACGTCCTTGGCCGCCTTGAAACTGACCAAGCTGGTTGGGTGCCGTCGGGTTGCGGATGGGTTGGTTCAGGAATGATGCTTGCAGCTGGTATTTGCCTCCTTTTCTCTGAAAACTAGGGGAAAGTATTGTTGATGAGTTGGGCTGTTGCTTGAGTACTCAACAACAAGGGGACTCTACTTGGGGCGAGTGACACCAGAGCAGCACGCAGAAGGACCGGGTCACCTTGAGTCGTGCAACTGCTTGCCCGAAGCGCCAGCCAGGACACGGGAGTCAAATCAACGTTCAAACAAATACGGAAGCTGTAGAGCCACCAGCTGTCAAGAGGAAAACCCACGAAAGCAAAATAGGGTTCCTTGGCCCTTCTTGGCCCGCTGTCGCCTGGAAGGTGAGCACCGCAGCAACACGGGGCAACACTCAGTCGGGCGGCCCTGCAAGGGAGACCCCAGGAAAAAAAGTATTAATTAAAACCGTAGGTTATTAAAATAATTAAAACCTTTTGTTGGTCTAAGACACCAAGTGGAAACGCCTTCTCACGATGAAAAATCTCCAAGGCACACAACCCGACTCAGGCGGTGGCGGTGTGCTGGCCCCCGCGTCCAGTCGCCCCTTCCATGTCTGCACTCTCCGGATGTGTTGGTTTGGAAGAGAGTTTAAACGTTGAAAGGCAAGGAAACAAAGAGGAAATATGTACCTTAGGGAAGTACAAGACCCTTAAGCAGGCGGCTGAGACGGCTGCGGGCAGGCGAGCAGCCACGAGGAGAGGAACTGAACGTAGGGCAGGGGCGCATAGGCCACCCACACAAATGAAATATGCGAGTAAAAGACAAAATAAATAACTCAAACGCCGTTTCAAGGCAATCCAGAAAAGCCCAAACCTCCGAGGCCCTTCCCTCATCCACCGCGGTGTCTTGCACTACTAGCAAATCGGGTCTGAGCACTCGGCCGTCTCCCTGACTTTGGCGAGAGCGGTTGACTCCACTTCTTCTCCATCTCAAAGCATTCATGCGTTCTGCACCCTGTTTTGCATACTCAAACGGCTATGTTGCCCATTTTGGGCACCGCCTCGTGCATCCTCAGCCACTCAACGCAGCCTTGCCTCCTGGCTCGCTCTCCGGTCCCTTCCATCTTGCAGCCGCCTCTTCACCTAACAGCTGCAGAGGCAAGCCTCACTCTAGTTTCTTGTTGGTGAGCTTCTGCCTGTTTAGTTTGTTTGCTCCTACATGCATGCACCGCGTCTTTCTGGCCGGAGTTCAAGACTGTCGTCGACCTTGAGCCGAGGAAGCCCTACGCCGTGATCCTGCCATTTGGATACTGAGCAATATCGAAAGAGGTCTGAAACTGTTACCCGAGCTAAGCAGGACTAAACGCTCCCCGTCCCCCAGTGTTACTGCACTTTCGCCTGTACCAAACTGGGTGAAGCTACGAGGTGGACTTCGCTGTGGCATTGGACTTCGGTATGACATTTCTAGCACACCCTGAGCAACAATCAGGCTGCATCTTAATGCACATAAACTGCTTCTTACACAACCGTGAATGTTGGAAGCAAGCAACATAGGGCCAAAATTGCCACTATATGACGGGTGTCGTTTTGCCCCGTGCGCTGGCCACTTGTCGTCTTTCTGTCGCGCTAAGTGTTCTGCGTCTTTCTCCCTCTTAAACATCCTGTAGCTAGCTGGCGAGTCTAAGCTTAAGGGATAGCTTTAGGGTTCTACAGGTTGTTGCAGAGAGTGCGGCCTTGAAGGGTCAAAATTGTCCACAAAGTTGCTTCAGGCAACGGCATCCACGATGGGGAAGAGAATACAGCTAGCTTCATCTAGTTGGCAGGAGTTGCACTCAAATCCACTCACGTTGTAAGCCTTAGCCGCCCCAGATATGAAAAAGCATGCCAGTTTGCAGCTCGTCATAAGCCAGAGGTAGGCGAGTCTTAGCCCGGGCCGCTGTGGGCTGCTCAATAAGCCTTATGCAACAGACTCCAGGCATTATGGACTTTTTCAGCAAGGGAAGTCAGAATACCTACCCCGTCTACCTACGATGAAGTCCATTGTCAATAGGGTTTATCCCCACCTCCGCTTTCTGGTTCAAACTATGGTTGTCTGCTGCTGAAGACGGCGATCTCGAGAAAAGTTGCCTTACAACAATCCCAACCATGGCCGTGACTGTAACGGCAGTCTTCGAATTAACCCAAGGACTGTCGCGAGCTCCCCTGAAGTCAAAACAGTTGAAGACTCCCTCCCCAGTCTCCGGGCTTCCTGGGGAAGACGGCCCAAGAGGAGACGGTCTCCCATGTGCTGCACCGCACCTTGCTTCAACTCAACGGGCTTGACAGCCCTACATGCAAGCACAACCGTGCTGCCTTTGCTGCAGGCACTAACACTGTAGACCGCTGCAGAAGTCTTCTGCAGACAGTTGTTGAATACTTTTGAGGACCGTTGTTGAAATCTTGTTATCGCTTAAGAATGTGGCCTAACTGCGCTCAAAGGGTCGAGCTCAAACGCTAGGAAGGCTTGGCTACGTCGGAGAACCACCTGCCATTTGGAAGTGGCTCTACTTGAGCCAATCGCAGTGACCGACAGTTAGCAGGCATATCACCTTAAATATAGTTCAAGCGGAAGGAAGTAATATGTACTTTGCCCATGTGTTAATGGTTTTACTCTCAGCAGGTTGCACGCCGCGGCAGCCGACGGTTCCGCCCCACCGACCCGAACACGACGCTTGTTGTTTGGCCCCATTGGGCTGGATGGGCGTATAATAATGTATCTGTTTTGTGTATTTATTTGCGTTATTTGTCTTTTATTTAATTTTTTATGGGGTTTTCATGGGAGCTATTTCTTCGTCCTCACGCGCCAGCTGCTGGAGTTTGCTGCGTTTATCCTGAGGCCCCTCTCTGCCCCAAACGCGCCGATGGGCATAACAAATTTACTGGTAACGCCTGTCCTTAGATTAAGTAGTTTAAGCAACTTAATTTTTCAAGCGACATGCAAACCAACTGCGTTCCTCACCACACACACACACACACAGACACACACTGTAGGCGCTACTTCCTCCGTGGCCCCCTGCAAATGGCAACGAGCCCTGCCTTTTACTGGTTTAGCACCTCCTGTTGCTCAAATAAGCTGTATGCGCAGGTGGTGTGCGTTTGGTTGCTGCATGCAGTGGCTGTAGTGTTGCTCCCCAAACCTTTCACTGTCCCTTCTGCCTGTATCTCATTCCATTTGGGCCGGTTGCCCTTATCTCACTCTCCTTGCCTTCTTCTTCACTTCTTAGCCCTCACGTCACCCTCCCTGTTTACCTGTCTTTGATTCCCTTGGTTTTGCCCTTCAGTGTTCCGCTTTTGCCGTTTCCTCCCACTCTCTGTACCCTTTGGTGCTACCTGCCTGTCTCGCTGTGTCCTTTGTTTTGTCTGTTCGCAGCAATTCCTCAAGCCCATAACATTTCCTGGCCATGTGGAGGAGTACAGTCTCCCTTATGCTTGAACACTAAACCCGAGCAGCATGTAGATCTCAGCCAGTAGTGTTTAGGCCAGATCAGCCTCCATCCCCTACGGTGTAGCTCTTCATTAAAACACGACACAAATTAATCATTGTTTCTGATGCTGGGGATGTCTTCATGCAGTTGCAGGGGACAGGTGGTCGGGGTGGACGCGATGTGTTGGATGCACAGAGGAGCGGCTGCTTGCGCTGTGCAGCTCGTAGAGGGGAGAGACACAGACATGTAAGAGACAGTAAGGTTGTTCGTCGGTGTACATTTTGTCTGCTTTTGGCTTTGAATTGCCTCGTTTTCTGTCTGCGTTATCTTCCCTCTCCTGTTTGTTCCCTTAGCCCCGTGCTCTCCAGCACATATATACAACTATATATATAAAGCAAACACACGTAGGAAATACCTCCACATCTCTTCCTAAACTCTTTGTTTGCTGCGGATGTTTCTAGTTTGCCTGGGATGTTTCTAGTTTGCTTGGCTCCTCAACGCGTGATACTATGTGTGTTCGTTTTCTTTTGGCTATTCACCGTTGTTCTTGCCCTTATTCTGTCCTTCTTTTGTGTCACCGGCAGGTTTCTTCGCTTTTTTATTTCAATGGTTTCGCTTCTCCGCTTTTATGGGGTCACTCCGCTGATTGGTAAGAGGAGTGGTGACACTTGCAGTTGAACGTTGCCGTTTTGCCTTCTTTTGTTTCTCTTCGTCTCCTCCTTTGCTTTGCATTCTTTATTTTAATTTACCGGCCTCTCCCTCTGTTCTCTTCCCTCGTTTCTATTTCTACCACTTTCTCTCCGTTTCTCCCTCCGTCTCCGCTTGCTTGTTACGTGTTGACTCTATCTGCTGCCGTCTCTTCGTCTCAGTATCTCATTTTGCCTTTCCCCTCCCTTTCCGTTTGTTTGCGTGTATGCATTAAACTCCTTCATCCCCGAAGGAGATTTATACCCTAGACACGAAATAAACATAGGACAGCCAGCATATCAAGCAATGATGTTTTCACCCATGTGGTTTGGCGTTCGCGGCTGAGTCGTCTCTGCACTCCTGTTTTTGTTGGAATTTTTTCGTTGGCTGTTGATGAATTCGTCCTTTTCTTGCTGCTCCTGTTCGCTCCCATTTCTCTCTGTTTATGGTGTCTTGCACTTGGCCTCGATTCAGTGCTGTGTCCCATGTCAGTGTGGAGTGTTGCAGTGCTCGCGGTCTACGTTTTCCCCTCTAGAATGCGTCCAACTGTTGACCGGTTGTGGTGTTTGTTAACCTTCAGTTTTCATCCTTTCCACTCCTGTTGGTATCTGTAGCTCTCTGTTTTCCTCTGTGAACGCCAATAGATATGCAGTTTCTTCTGGCGTTGTGCTGTTTTTTCTTGTGGGTCATGCTTCCCCACCTCTTTTGTCTTTGTATGCTTTTCCGTGTTTTTGCCTGGTCCGCTTGGCGCATTTTGCGGTTTCTTCAAGTTTTTGATGGCAGTCGAATTGAGGTGAAGTCGGGGGAAGACGAGAAGCGCCAGAAGTGGGTTTTCTCTTGTTTGCAACTCGATTTTTTTCTGCATTGTCTCCATTCTTGTAGACCCTTTGCTGTTGCTTGTCTGCGGCATAACGTTGCGGCACTTCCTTTGCTGCAGCGCAGCACAATAAGCAATTACCATGGCAATCGTGCTGTCACGAGTTTACTGCGGGCTTCTGACTCAGGCGCAGGGAGACCGCCAGGCAAGAGGCTCTGGAGCTGCTGAAGCGCAAGCAACAAAACCTCCCTGTCGACTACAAGGTAAACCCTAAGCCCTGAACCCGAGGCCGGAGACCCTAAACCCATATTGGCATATTGGCAGGACCTAAACCCTGGCGCCCAATGGCCCTCTCCTCACCACTACACCTAGAAGCTAAACCATTTTCTCTCCAAACCCCAGTTGAAGTGTTTTGCAACTAAGCATCCATCGTCTAGGCACAACCGCTCTAATCTTTAGGCCTTAACCTCCCTTCTGCTGTCTCTCCGTGCATAAGCCGTAGACAACGAGGGCGGTTGCAGATGTACTCCCCATGCACCGGCTTTAACTGTGTCTCTCTTTGTCTTCATGTGCTCACCTCTCGTCCTCGCCCTCTGTGCACTGTCTCGTCGCTCTATAGGAACTCATGTCCAAATGCTCCCAAAGCATTTCAATCACTCCTGCAATGGTGAGCAGCGCGGTGTTTGCAGCTGGAAGTAGCAACCCATATTTGTTTTGTAAACGGAAACAACTATCGAAAGCATGAAAAAACCTTAGCTTCTTCAAGCAAGGGATGCCATGTTATGCAGCGTACTTACAGTGAGCCAGAGGGAGGAAAGGGTGCCGGCCTGCAGGGCATACTGCCTAGGGTTTAGGGTTTTGGGGTTTCTTCGGGTACACCCGCAGGTCGACAAAGTCATCGCTGCCTGTAGAGAACTCGGAATTCGGTGCATTGTTGCCCCTTTTGAGGCGGACGCTCAGCTGGCCTACTTGTCTCGCACGAATCAAATTGTCCGTCTCTCCCTTGCCTTTATTATGTTTCCTTCTTTTGACGTTTTATCTATACCCTGTTTCGATGTGTTCCCACTTTCTCGATTTGTTCGTGTCTCTTCGTATCGTAACCTGTTTTTCCGGTCTCTTCATTTTACCCGCTTCTGCTTTTTTGTATTGCTTTTCTCTGCTTGTTTCTGTCTCGTCGTCTTTATGTGTCTTTTTTCATGTGCTTACATCTACTCTCCCAACTCAGCCGGTTTCCTCGTCTCCACCCTCGTACCTATATTCACGTGGAAAAGTTGCATTCGGTTGCATTCACGTGGAAAAGTTGCATTCGGGGTCCCGCCTTCAGAGCAGTAGCGGCACTTGTACAGCGACAGCAGCACAGGAAGGATCACAGGCAGCAGAAAAAGCAAGATTAGCGCGAAAAGTATCACCAGCACACGGGTGATCGTTCTTGGCTTGCCTCCCTCGCAGCACAGCGCCATATCCGAAGACAGCGACCTGTTGGCTTACGGCTGTAAGAGAGTGATGCTGAAGATGGATAAAGAGGGAAAGTGTGAGGTGTTGCGCCTTCCTTTTCTCCAAGACGAGAACGACAACTGCATCTCCGAGCTGCAGGCACACCTCAACAAGACCGCCAAACAAATGGCACGTGGAACACGCAGCAAGCAACTTCTCGCTCTCCTTCCCCCTCCTCAAAATCATGCACCCACTTCCCTTCCTACATGCATGCCCATGCACGCATGCGTTTGCCACATATGCATGAGTGCACACACATGAATTTGCCAAGGTTTTACAGGTGAAGTATGGGCTGTCGACTGACAGCACATTTCTACTATTTCTGTGTTACATAGGTGTAGAGTCGCCCTGTTTGGATTTTTATTTTTTATATATATTCTTTCATGCATTTTAGTTTGCTCACTCAAGGCATCTCATATGTGGGGTTAGGAGTTTGTGGTTTGTTGCCATCAGGAACTTTTACGCATCCTTAAGGGACTTAATCACGAGAGATTTGTGGCTATGTGCGTCCTAGGGGGCTGCGATTACACCAACAAAGTGCACATAAACGTTAGTCCGTCTCTTTCTTATATTTGTCTATCTCTTCTTGCTCCTCCGCCGGTGTCCTCCCTCCATCGTGGTGCATCGGCCTGGCTTGTGCATGCAACGGTGTAGGCTGAAGCAACATGTCTAGTGCTGGACTTGGTGGTTTGGTGTGAGTTGCTACTTGCTGTCTGCTCTCCGGTGTTTTTAGGGAATGGGAATCGGAACAGCGTGCCGTTTGATAACGCAACTCCGAACGTTGCCGCGCGTTTTAGATTTTTTATGCCGAGACAAGAAATGGTCTTCGAGGTTTCCAGTGGTACGCCATTTGTAGTCGTCTCCCCAACCTGGTCGTCTGATGGTGCATGCATAGAGTGTTGCGTCTTCTCTGTCGACTACTCTCGCTGCAGCAGCTGCAGCAGCCCAATTCCAGTCCGTAGAAAGCGAAAGGACGAAGAAACGAACCGCTTTCTCAACAAAGCTTTCAGCGCTCGCCTCCACTGAATGCGTCTGGCGGCACACGGCATTGCAGGAGAGGAATCGTACTTGCCCACACCCTCCGCCACAAATAATATTAACAATAATTTAAGGACAGCGCTCTGCATCTGCCCGCTGCTGCTGCTGCTGCTGCGCTGCAGGACAAGGAAGAAGTGGTTGCGGGCCACCTTGCGGCAGAGAGTACGTTCATGAACCACAAGGTCTTCGACCCTCAAACCCAGCGCGTCGTTCTCATCCGCTCGCATGCCACTCAGGTAACGAATTGAGCAGTCCATACACCACTACACTCCGCTCTCGCATACCACCAACCTACCTGCCGATGAACACTAACGCAAGTATGCATGCATTTACATCTATATATTTTGTATACTGTTGTTCGTATTGAATGCGTTAAATAGGCCAGTTCACCCTGATGCGTATACATGAATCGTATAATCGTCTACAGCTGAGGTCACCAGCTGCGTGTTGCACCTAAAGAAATGGTTTCATGGGCTAGCTAGACTATATGTATGGCGACATAGGAATGATGTGGATATAAAGACTCCTAAATAAGTGAAACGAACACTATTAATGCATCTTACTGCTTGCCTGATTAACTTTCCAAGAACGATTTGAGGCACGCGCTCAAAGAAAAGGGAACGCGAAAGTCCACAGAGTAGTCTTTGCCAAACCGAGCATCCGTTATGCCACGTCTTACACTTCATTTCTCACGGTAACCTGTGGGCTGGAGAACGCCGCTCTTTTGGGTTTTTAGGCGTGCCCAGGAACTCGCCGGTCCGGGAGCACGTGCAGGCCTGTACACACAAGTGCATGTGTGCACGCGCATACGTGCACACATGCACACATCCATTTGCGCGTATGCACACATCTGCTGTATGTGCACAACCTAATGTTCAGTATACGCTCACACGTGCATATATGCGAGTGCATCACTTCATGCATGCAAACAGGTGGATGCATACACTGTGAGTGGTTTTGCAGGGGCAAAGCAGTGACATTGACGCCTCCTGTGAAGAGGCAGACGAGAGGGCCATCGCCATTGCCAACGGCGTCCTCGACCCCAGGACTGGCGCCCCCCGCAACACAGCTGTGAGCAGCAACACCAGAACCTGCTGCCGTTGCAACAGCATCAGGCAGCAGGGGCACGTGTGCGACAAGTAAACGGGGGGTTGCCGTTGCAACAGTTGTCGCGTAGTCTGCTAGTTGCCACTGAAAAGCAAAAACCGCCTGAATCAACCACTCAGCCATAGATGCATGCATGCGTGCGCTTGCGCATGCATTGATTCATAGTTGCACGCATTGCTGAGTGCTTGCACAGTTGCTGTTCCAGCTTCACGCCAATATATCTTTGGGGTTATCTACGTGTATAGGTTTTGCGGTGAATTTCTTGCTTCAAGTATAAAATCTTACATCTAGTATACGCTTATGCAATTCATATTAAGTATGAATTGCATAGGTGCATACTAGATATAAGATATTTGAAGCAAGAAATTCACCGCAAAACCTATACACGTAGATATACCCAAATATATATTCTACATGACGTCTAATATATACAGCAAAAGTATTTGTACATATGCGTATATACATATACAAATGTTCAAATATACATATTATATATCCACATGTATGTTCATGTTTGCGGTGCAGCTTTCTCCTGCGGAATGTGCGTTGATTCGGGACTTCCAAGAAAAGGCCTTTTGGGGGTTGGAGGCAAAGCAGCTGAGGGCTGAAGCTGCGTCTAAAATTGAAGAGACACGAAAGAAGATGGTAGGGGAAGTGGCATCAAAGGAGATGCAAGAGACTATCTCCTCAAACGCCAAGGGGACAGAGACTCACAAGACAGAGCGGCACACCCCAAAAGCCACAGGAGTCACCGTCCGCATAGCTACGCGTGCTCCTGCTGCAGTCGCAGCGGCTAGTCCTGCTGCTGCTGCTCCCACGCAGCGGGATGAGGCTAACTACCAAGCAGTAGGTCCTCCTGCTGATGTTGTTAATGCGTTTGACGCCTTCGTTGCTCCTGGTACAGTTTCCAGGAGCAGGAAAGAGCAAGAAACAGCAGCAGTTGTAGCATCTCATGAAAACCTCAAGACGGCCAAACGATTGCTGCACAGCATGAAGGACCAGGGCTTTAAGCTTAGTGGGGTTGCAGGCGCGTTTAGTGCAGCAACAATGGCTGCAGCGCCAGCAGCAGCAACATCAGAAGCAGCGCCAGAAGCAGCAGCAACACCACAGGCACGAGAGCCACGCTGTGGAGACATCACAGGCTCGGCAAACGAAGCTGGGGGCAGCACTCAGCAGCGTCAAAGCAGCAGCAGCCTGTTGCAGTTTGCGTCAACAATCAAAGACCTGCAGGCAAAGGTGCTCCTCAAGGGCCCCCCAGCAGTAGTTGGACGCAGAGAAGTCGTCATCAAGACCCGCTTTGCTCATCGCACGAAACTCATTTCTGCTGCCGAAAGATCCTCTCCTCCGTTCACCTCCCTCAACTCCGCTGCAGCAACAGCATCAACAGCAGCCATACCAGATACCACAGAAGCCGCCGCCACCACAGCAACTGCACAGCCAGCGGCAGGGGCTGCTGCTGCAGAGAAAGGGGGAACCAGTGAAACAGCAGCAGCAGAAGCAGCGGTAGAAGCCCCAGTCGATAGCGTTTGCTTGAATAATGCTGTTAGTGATTTGCCTGCCGTGAGCAGAGAAACAGGATCTTGGGGTGTATGTACAGCTGAAGGGCCTCCGCTGAAGCGGCGGTCGTCTGCCGCCTTTGTTAAGGCCGACGACACAGAAGCGATAACAGCCTTTTCAAGCTTTGTCTTCGTTCCTGGAGACAAGCTGCTGAGACCTACAATTGCGAAACCATGAGCTCCTGTTCAGCGAGACTTTAAGGTTTAGGGTATTGTGTTAGGGTTTTGCTGAACGTGTTTGATTCTTGAGGCGCTTTGCCTACAGCAGTAGTCCCTAGTGCCCCCTATAGACCTCCAGGCGTTTCTAAGGCGTTCTCTACACTCCCCCATATGCAGCGCGACCCATAAGAGCTGCAGCATTAGCTCTTATGTGAGGTATCTGTTGGGGGGATGCTTGCACTGTGCCGCTACCCTTCCTGTGTCTGTATCTCGGCTAGTCTGTCTCGAACCTCTCTGTGTTGGCAAAGGCCTCGCCCTTCCGATGATGACCCATCTAAAGCTCTTCTCTTGGTAGACCTCCAGATATGATAGCCCTGGCTTGCTGCTGCTGGCCGGGTAACTCTGGTGCTCCATGGGGCTGGGATGTTAGTAGTGGAAGCAGTATTTGAAGTTGCTGCCCCGGAAGTTGCTGTAACCATGAAAACGACTTATCATCTTTTGGCATTTTAACACGAGTCATGAAAACCGAATATATTCGGTTAGCGTCTCAAAAAAAAAAGACAAAATCAACTAAATATTTTTCAGGTGCCATTTCAAGACCCTTTCTGCCTCGAGGGTCTCAGGCGGCTAGCAGTACGTAGGACCAAACGCAGCTGTAGCACACTTCGCTTCTCACAATTGTATACTGTAGCATCAGCATCAGCGGCACCAGCAGGGATAGCAACTCAACTGACTCCTTTGGTGCACCATGCAACCTTGGAGGTCACAAGAGTTATCGCAGGATAACTCGCCACAAAAGCAGATGCTCGCTGCTTCTACAAGTGCAGCTGTCGCTTTTGCTGCTTTTTCTGCAGTTGCAACTACTGTATCGTTATTGCCGTTCTCTTTCAGGTGTGCTTGTTGCTGATTTTGCTGCTGCTGCAATTCAGGGTGGCGGACATAAAACTAATATGGAGCTATTTGCAACAAGCTAGAGACGCTATTGTGTAGGTGTGGCTACTATCGCTGCTCTTGCAGAACTCCTCCGGTGGTGGGCCGTCTTTGAAAGTTGGACGGCATTCCGAAGGGGGACGCCACCGAGTTCATGTTTTGTCAGTGAGACAAGGAGTTGTTGCAGTTGTTGTTGCTTTTTCTTCTTTTCTGCTTCTTGGAGCGCCTGTCTTTGGGCTTCTGCCTTTAGTCGTTCCTGCTCCTCTTGTTGTCTCCTTTGTGCTTTCTCTCTCTGTGCCTCTCGTGCTTTGGCCTCTTCTTCCTCTCTCTTCTGCTGCTCGGCTATTAGTTTCTTTCTCTTCTCCTCTCTTTTGCGAGCCTCGTTTGCTGCTTTTTCCTTCTCGAGTTCCTCATGCCGTCTTCGTTCCATCTCCCGTCGCTGCGCCTCTGCCTGGGCTTGCGCTTGCGCTCGAGCCTCTGCTTGCGCCTTGCGGGCCGCCTCTTTGGCTGCTTCTGCTGCTTCTTTTTCTGCCTTTTCTCTTGCTTTCTGTTCTTCTTCTTCGGCAGCCTTCTTGCGCGCTGCTGCTTCTTCTTGCCGCCGCGCCTCTGCCTCTCGCTCCCGCTGTTCCTTCTCTTCCTGCTGTTTTTTCAGTTCTGCAGCAGCGCGGCGGGCAGCCTCCAGCCGCCGCTGCAGCTCCTCCGCCTCCTCCCGCCTCAGCCGTGCCTCCTCTGCAGCACGCCTCTGCGCCTCTTCTGCTCGCTGTCGTTGCTCGCGAGCAGCCAGTAGCTGCTGCAAGTGCTCCGTAGCCCCTGGAACCGCCTCAGGGTGTACAAACACTTCTGTCGATCCACGTTTTATCTCCCACCACGGGCCTTCGAGCATCATTCAACAACACAGGGAAGGCAGCAGCCACGCATACAGATTTACAACAACACACAAACAATGTACCAGTGCACGAGGACGCAGCAGCAACATAGAACACCACAAAAATACAAAACCCAACAACGCATACCACAACACAGCTCTAGAGAAAACCATTACCGTTCCCTGCTGCCTGAAGTAGCAGCGGCAACGAAGAACCGACTTAACTAAGGCTGCAGCAGCAAGATATCTCACACACCTCTTGAGAATATTCCATCCAAAAGTTGGGTGAATCTATACTCAGCTCGCAAGACGCGGATGTGCGTCGGTGGCTCGACCCCGTGGAAAGGGTTGCGGCTAAGCAGGCCAGTGACCGCCGAATTGTTCTTTTGCAGCGCACAGTGTACACACATCTCAACCATACATCGAATGGATTCTTCTGGCGACACCACATATTAGACCGACCGAAACAAACGCATCAACAAGACTAGCCCCAAGGCTGTTGCACGGCGTTGCTCTGCTGCAAGACTCAGCAGCAGGTAGCGGTTGCTGCTGTGCCTCTGTTACCCCTGCAGCTGCCACTGGTTCTGCTGCTGTTGGCGGAGAAAACATAGGCAAGCGTTACGGTGAGCTTCTTACTTTTAGCAGAGCCGCGAGGAACTGGGGAAACCATCTGTGTCGCGACGCGACAGCTTTTGGATCTTCAAATGCGGCGAGATGCTGCAAACAAGGAGACAGCAGACCCGTCGTGAGCACGCAATAGCTACAACACACGCAGCATGCCGTCTCCGCAGGCAAGAGCACTAATAGATCTTCCTGTTTCGTGCCTCGACATGAGCGCCACTGCGCTGCCTTGTGCTGTGCTGGCGGCTGCTGACCATTTGCCAGTCGAGACGGTGGTGATATGGGCCTAAGAAGCACGGCGCGCGATCGAGTGAAGTCGGCTTGCACTTGAATTCATAATTTTTCCACTCTGTGTCGGCATTCTGAACCCCCCACCCATAATAAACAGAGATAGCGCCATGCATGCAGCGCATGCATGCAGAATGAGAAGCACGAACATCTCAGCAAGCATAGCGGGCAGACCCTCGCTCTCTAGCGCAAGAGAGGCAGGGAATACATTCACGGGAGCCCTCTGGCACCATCATCCAATACATAACAATGCTTGCTGTTGACCAAACAAAGCCAGCAGGTTTTTGTTTGTTGATCCCGAAGTAATAAGCAATTCGAGGAAGAGGACTTTGAGAGAGGACTTATGTTTGAACCTTTCACTAACTCACCACTTCTGCAGCGTCAGTGCCCTGAACAATCAACTCATACCGCGCCTGCAGCGAGCAGCAACGAACGGAACAGCATAAACGCAACAGCAGCTGCAGATGCAGCAGCATTGAGGACAGAACCTGCATGCTTCTGCGGTTGAGAACGTGTTTGAAGCTGGGTGCGTCTACTGTATGTCTTCTGTCTGCTTGGTCTCATGCTCTTTTTCTTTATTCTGCTCATCCTCACCCTTTGGACTTGGCCTGGAACGCCATACGTGTTCAGAACTTGGAATGGCTCGAAGTGGGCTACAGGAATCTGCAGGGACAGAGCCACACAAGCTGGCAGCCCGGTCGCATAATGGCATGCTAACGTTACAATGTTGAGCTGATGGTACATCGATATACGGAAAATGTGATGCACGCAACTACTTCGTCTTTCATCCCTCCGTCTCTACTTTAGGCAGGGAGACAGCCGCTACCCTCTCTTGATTTGTCGGCATGTCGCTCTTATGTCCTTGCTTGGGATGTTTTATCATTTAAACGGGTGTATGGCCAAATCCACAATCAGCTGAGGAAGAGACTTTGTGCAGCCTGTGTATCTCTCATGTTTTTCGTGTTCACTGCTTCTCTGGGGGAGCGTCTACTTGCTGGGATATCTCTGTCCCGCTGCCCTTATGCACCGTTGCTTAAAAGGAAAATACCACCTCTTCACGAACTCCTCCTACCCACATTAGTGCCTATCTCCCCCTCCAACTATCTGTCGTTTTTCCTCCGTTTGTCTCTCTGTCTGTTTGCCTGCCTGATTTTGTGAAGGGCGGGCATAAAGATGGCCTCGGGAGGCGGTACTGCAGATGTTCCTGTCCGTGAGATGCTCAGTTAGCATTGCCTCTGCTGTGCTTAAGTTTTGTCTCCATTTCCCATTGCTGATTCGCGCTCATACCTCCCTGTCATTTGTGCTCATGACTCGCTCATAAAACCCTCTTTTGTGTGTGCTATTATATACATCAGCACCCTGTCTCCTCACTAAGCCTCCCTCAACACCGGATTTGCTGGTTAGGGCCACTGGCTATCTTTGCTGTACCTGTGGCTGCTGCCTACTTGTTGGGGGGAAAGGAGGTTTTGGACGACGGGGATGGACAGGACGATGAAGAGGGTGAGGAGCAGAAACTCGACGTGCAATTTAATGACGAGAGCTGCATTTCTGAGAGTTGAGTAGGAGAATATTATTAGGACGGTTGCTAGACAGGAGGCCAGCCAGATGCTCCAGACCTCGGGGCCGTTAGCGAAGATGCTGCTGAAACTGGACAGTGTAGCTGCAGATAGGACAATTTCTGTGAAGACGAAGGAGGCCTTGGTGCAGGAGACAAAGGCTGAGAAAGCGGACTGCAACAGCACCAAAAAGAACTGACTCAGCACCACCCACACTGCACATGCCTCAGCACGTGACAGCATCCACGCACAGCATAGGACTGCAGCAGCAAGAGTGGCCTCCACTGCTGTTTGCCACCAGCGGTCTCTCAGGTGTCTGATGACCAAGTCCACAGAACCTCGAGGCAGTCGGCAGCGCTTCAGATACCCCACAAAGTCTGGCCAGTAATAGCAGCAGCAAGACCTCCTCCCCTCTCCAGAAGGACTGTTGCCTGCTCCTCCTACCATGTCGAAGCGGTTCTCGCCTGACGACGCAGGTAATCAGCACCAATGCAAACACTCACAAAACCCAAAACTTGAACAACTTACCAACGTCGCAGTAAAAGAAATCTAGGCCATTCAAGGAAACATCCTCTGGGTCATTTAACCTGCGCGTGCTGTTAGTCTGCGCGTTGGCATTTATTGCCGGTGTCAGCTAGGACCCGGCCGGGATTTGGGTTTATGGTTTCTTACTGGCAACGTTGTTAGGCTTATCCAGGAGGGCTTGAGCCTCTTCGTCTAACGACTGTTGCTGCTGTTGCTGCTGCTCTCCAGCATGGAAGTCCAGCGGCCAGCCCTGGTAAAGGGGACACGCCCAGTCCCCTCCTACTCCGCAGGTGAGACTCTCCAGCCGCCCGAGGGTTTTGACAGAGAAGAGACAGGACAAGCAGCAATCGTCAAGGCAGAGGAGAGCAGGAGCGAGGGCCAGCAAGGGAGCAAAGGCGGCGTTGCCTGCCAGCGCGCTGCAGACCCCAAAGGCCATCAAAGACAGCCCACCAATGAGGCGGCAGCGCCTGCTCGGCAGAACCGTTAGAAAGGCGGCAACACAGAATACGAGAAGGCAGCAAACAGCCTCAGCCACAAGCAGTGAGTGGGGCTGGTGGTGCAACACCCAGGCTAGCGGCGATGGTAGAGGTTGCGTTTGGTAATAGTAAGACAAGGCAGAAAGATCCCTCCAAGCGCTGTCTCCTCGCAGCAAACTGAGCCCCGTCCCCAGGTAGAGACGTAGCAGCAGCCAGCGGCAGCCCCAAATGCATACAAAGGGCACAGGCCAGCTGCGCGGAAAACGTGAACTGCTCCAAAAGGGAGAAATCCAAACCCCCAAGAAACCTGTCTCTAAAAGCTGCGAATCCCAGCCGAAGCCACACCACTCCTGCCCAACACTCACAAGCGTCAGGTACAGCATCCACTGCAGTAGCAAGACACTTCCGCTAGCGGCACCGGCTAAGAATACGCCGCCAGAAAGCACCATTCCTACACAGTCGAAGTTCAAAAAAAGTACAAGCAACACGTAGGGTAACAAATAAATATCAAAAACATGCAACATTCAGGGCAGACGTGGGGCAATAGAAGACGCACAAGCAAACAACAGCACCAAATGTAACACACAAACAGCAGCAGCAGACGGGGCATGAAGACAGACGCAACAGCAAATGCATTACCACCACCAACAGCAGCAGCAAGTGCAGTAGCAACGACAGCTGCCAACAGCAACAGAGGCAGCGCATGCATTGGCTGCTGTGAAGAGGCCCCTTGTGCCCAACCCTTCAGAAAGCTGTTAGGGTCGTGCTTGTCTAAGCTCTTCACTTATATGTTTGCTTCTAGCATAGTAGATTATGAATCGTGTCTGTCTACTGGACGCAACTCGCACGACAGTTCCAAAGCTTGCTACTGCATTGTCTGCCCATCTTGGGGGTAAATGCCTCACCAAGCAGTGCCAACGCGTTCAGCCAGAAGTCTGTCGGGGGTACAAAGAGAAAGAGAGAGGGGAACGCTTTCACACGGTCCCAGCCCCGCATATCTCCAAAGGAGGCCTTTGTCTCCTCCACCAAATCCTGTGCAGGCGTCAGGCCTTCAGAACCAATGAGGCCAGCATTCTGCATACACCAACAACCCAAAACGCATACCAGGCGACTTGTGTTTCTGCTGCTATCGTGATCGCCCCAGCTGCTGCGGTTAGTGAGCCGAGGAGTCATGGTTTGGCCACGACAGCTACTAAGCCACATGTGAGCACGAGTATTGCATTTGTTCACACACCCTAAGCCGTATGCGCAAGAACATATAACATAAACCCTCTCCCCTAGACCGTCCTTGCCTGGTTAAATGCGATGAGGAAAGCGAAGAAATAGATCAGAGAGAGGACACGAAGAAATACCTGAATAAATGCGACATAAACATTGCAACCAACAAGTCCAGGGGTTCACCTCCTCCCCGCAAAAGCAAACCCGTATATGCAGACAAGCACTGGCTATGAATGTGTTTGTGGATGCTCTGTATGAGCTATTGCTAGCTACGTGTGGACGTTGAGGGAATTTCCTTCTCATTCGGCGAGTTCATCTAGTAGTAGCATTGGCAAGCCGCCAAAGAGCAGCATGCCAGAAATCGAGTGTGAGGAGTGGTCAGTCTACTGACGATGCGCGTTAGCCAGAAGGTGTTTTTCATTGTCTCGAGGATTTTATCGTCTAGAGGGATCTTTCTGTCTTCCGTGCACGTCCACGATGGGTCTAGGCGCCGTATATATTCCCTCAATCCATGCCCTGGGCCGCCTCTCCCTAGGAGGCGGCCGAGCCCTTGGAGAAGCTGAAGCGCATAACAACTCTCTCTGTCCCTCTTCACTGTCTTTCTCTCCGTCTCTCCTGCAGCCGTAGTCACTACTTGCCGCAGGGGGACTTCCTCCTGAACCGGAGGGCTGGAGAGCCTCCCAGTCCCCTGCGGCGACCCCGGCGTAGCCGCACCCCTCGAAGGGGCTTCTCCGGAATCCACAGACTCCATACCCCCACGCTCGCCTTCTTTACTCTCTGTGACAGCCCCCGCAAGCCTTGAAGGCAGCGCGTTTTGCGCACAGGGAGGGCTCTGGCTGCGGTGTCTAGGCAGGCACTACCGATTTCCTGTGCTCATCCGCAAGTCGAGCTAATGCCGGTGGACTTTTTTCAAGAGAAACAACCAATTGAATTAAATAAAAAGAAAAGATATGCATGTTTAACGACGGAGGAAGGCCACGAGAGTCATCTTGCAGTGAAGAGACTTTTCTAGGCCCAGCCAGACCACCGGTCGCTGCTGTGCCGAGCGGTCCGAGTCCGGGGTCCAGCACGGCTCTGAAGCTTTACCTCGAAATTATTCCTAATCCCCATTAAACTGAAATACTGAATTTTAGATATATGTTCCCGATTTTTTGCCTGTTCATCCCGTCAGCAGCCTTCAAACCCAGCATGCTCATTCACTGTAAGCCACCCTGAACCGCTGCAGCCGCACCTCTCAGCGGCACATCCTTGAGAAGCAATCGATGCTTGTCTGTGGCTTTTTATTCGAACAAAATATAAAATCACAATTAAAAACTTTTGTAAATTGAATGTTTTAAATTCGTTTGTTCGTTGATGGGCTATTTCACCTCTCTTCCACTCTGGAGCGGCCCGGCGCCGCCGACTGTGTTTCACAACACCTTCCGCTTCATTTTGTGTTTTCTTCATTCTGCTTAGCACACTTAAAAGGTCTTAATGAACTACATATCCTCCAAGTGGCATCTGTCTCAACTGCAAACTCAGCGGATGCACACAGTTGCGCCTTTTCAGTACCAGCGTGCTCTGTTCATATGAACAGAGGAGAAACAAATTGTCAATTCCATCATGTTACAGATGCAGCTAGAAAGTCCCAATCAACTAATTGAACTATGCGGTGTTCTAAATATGCCTCACCGACAGAAAACCACAATTCCGTGAACCGCCCTGCTGCAAACACAAGGTCCAAGCTGCCGCTCAACCCCTAACAACTGCAGAAAAACACAAACCCTAAACATTCGACGCCGGACCTAAATTCTAGATGTAAGGACAGGTAGGGATTGCGACCAAGCTGTCTCTCCATCTGCAGTTGCTGCTGTCCTCAAACCCTGGCAGCCACATGCCGTATTGTAGAGAAATTATTTCTAGAAAACGGCAGATGAGAAAACTGCGCACAAGGTTACATCTATAAATAATACTTCAGGTGTATCTACGTGACATATTTTTAGCTGCACATTTAAATAATATTTGCTGCATATTATACAAGTCATGTTACATTTGCCTCAAATGGCAGTTTGTCCTCATAAAGCCGTCCGGAAAATGTCCATACCTGCACTAGCCTGCAACTCCAACATATATATCTTGTAGAAGCGAATATACCCTGAAAATAAACGTTTTAAAATATGATTTATATTTCTGCCTATATTAATATTTATAATTATACTATATTTAGATCGACGCTTCAGTGTGGGCTCTCCACCGGGGTGCTCCGTCGCTAAGAATAGGAGAAGCTACAAGCCGTCGCTGTTTCTTTGCCTTTGTCTGCCACGCTGTCTCCCCACTCTTCCCTGCTGCAGTGTATATACTGTCGTTGGAGGTTTCAGTAAGAGAGAATACAACAACAGCACCAAGGCGCACATCATTCTTATAACATCGACCTTATGACTACTCTTATGGAAGACAAGTAATCCAATAAAATTAGACCTGATTCTTCTTGTCAAAGAAGGCGTATACGATCAACTTATTATTTTCAAGCACACAAAATTGAACAGCAGATGCTGCCAATGGAGTACACTAGTACTGCCTGCCAGCGTTTCCTTCCTTTCCCCCCGTTGATGTCTGTAGCCTCCCCTGGTCTCCATATCCGCTCTTCGTACCTTCCTCTATCTGTCTACCTTCGCCTGTTGCTCCCGCCACCCCGAGTCAAAATGGGGAGGCATCAGCCAGTGAATAAAGACACACTACCGCAGCCCCTTGCTCCCCTGGCCAAAGTGCCCCCAGCCACTGCACCCGCATCAAGCTGCCCCTCGAGCTGCCCGCGACTGCCGAGGATCCCCATAACCCCACTATGGGCCCTACTATCGGCAATGACTGAGCTACGACCGAGCGGCAGCAAATCTACTCCTGTCACGCGGCTGTTGCATTCCCTTGTACGCGCTGTAAACACCCAGGATAATAGAGCCAGAAGTTATCTCTTTAACTTCTCAAGACCTAAGAAAAAGTAGCCTATAGCCGTCTGATATGACAGTTCTCTACAGAAAATTGGTTTTAGGGGTGTCTGAAGATGCAGCTGCTCAAATTGCACAATCACACATTAATTAGTTTCATATTTCGAATTGTTATTAATCAATGACTTAAATCGCAATTTGAATTCACGCACATCTTTGAAACACCGACCATCGTTACAGCATAAGAACTCATGTAGGCAGATGGATCTACAGACTTATCTTTATATCTTTATCTGTGACGCGCCGAGACACTCAATGGGACTAGAATGCAGCAGCATATGCTCTAGTAAAGCCTTCTTTTCTGATAGTGATCTGCTGCAAGGGGCACGCGCCGCTCTCTACACCAGCGGGGGCTGCGCCATCCACAATACTGAAGAAACAGTGGGGTGAACAGACGGCTGCTGATATGCTAATCGCGAACGCGTTCAAGTTCGGTGATCTGGTGCAAAAGGAGCAATATAATAAACGCCAAGATGCCGGGAAAGACAAACGTATGAGGGGATATGACGATGGATGCTTAAAAGGAATATAAAAGAGACGAGATATAGACATACACTTGGCACAGAAAGTCTGCCTCTGCTCCCCTGCGTACCGACACATCCCCATGGGGCTGCCCCGGGAGGAGACAGCAGAAAGAAAGCCTCTTGAGCATTAGAGGAGACAGATGGTCAGCAGCACGGGGATGGGGGGGGGAGCAAGCAGCGAAAACCGCCAGCAGATAACGGAGACAACAGCACTAGGGGCCAAGAGGCAGCAGCAAAAAGCAAAGTGTGGCAGAGAGCCGCCTGAAATCTCGAACGACCAATAATATACAGACGTACAAGGACCTAAACAGGCATTAAACAAGCCCCACAAGTTAATACAGGCAACAGAAGCTAGCAACGGGACGAAGGACGGGGAGACACACAGACGAAAGAGACAGTTACAGACGCAGCTCGACGTGTTCGCCTCAACAATCGAGACACAGAGAAAACGACACGACTCTCGCCTTTTTCGTGCCCTTGTCTTGTTTCCACAAAATCGCTGCTGTCGATGCTGCTGCAGCTACTGCAGCAGTGCTGCTTGTTCCCGCTGCTGCTGCTGCAACCCTCGCCTACATGTCTATGAGACTCTGGGCTATGGCTGCCTGCAGCACTGCCTCCTGAAGTCCCGGAAACAAGCATAAGCACATAAACAAAGTAATGCAACGGCGCAAATGGAGAAGAAAGACAGGGGTGGGCTGGAATAGACAGATACAGAGAGGCGGGTGAGCGTGAGAAATCTGAGCTCACAGACGGAATACAAAAGGAGATCGTTAGAAAGAGACAGGCGGACAGCCACATGATATGCACGGATTGCAGCAAAAGCAACGGGGAGAGCAGCATCGGCAAAGGGAAGTGCAGCAGCACAAACAGATAGAGACAGAAAAAACAAGGGAAACGAGAGCAAAGAGCATGTGACAAAAGAGAATATAACAAGCACAAAGAAGGCAACGCAGCCCCAAGATATAACCGGACACTACTCATCTTACGTCGGAGTCGACTTGAATTCCTGCTGCTGCTGCTGCTGCTGCCGCTGCCGCTGCTGCTGCTGCCGCTGCCGCAGCGTCCGATGAACCCGCACCCGCAGGTGGAGAATGATCCCCCACCTGCAACAGCAAGACCGGCAACGACAGCATCTGTAGATGAGGCAGCAACAGAAGCCAGAACAGCAGCTCAGCAGCACAAGCGGCTGCCAGAAGAGCAAACCCAGCCACAGTTACAACTAAAGCACGGTTACCATATGCGCGACAGCAGCAGTCACCGCACAATCGAGCAGCAGCAACAGTGGTAATAGTAGTGGCACAGGAGCACTTTCTGCTTACGCCAAGAGGGTCTGTGTCGACTGGAATGACTTCATAAGGTGGATTTGGGCTTTGGCTTCGGTCTGTGCGGCGGCTCAGCTGCTGCTGCTGCTGCTGCAGCTGCTGCTGCCGCAGCTGCTGCTGCTGCAGCAGCGTGTGGCTTCCGCTGAACTCCATGGCTGCTGCTCCTCCGCCGTGTCCATGCAGCAAACCACGTGCTGCTGCAGCCACCCCACGGAAACCTTCTGACAGCCCCCCAACTGCAGCAGCAGGTCCCACCCCCGGGTGCACCCAAGCTGTGTCTGCCTCTCCCAGCAAGCACTCGCTGTAGGCTTCATCTGGCCTCCTCACATCGTCGATTGAATTCAACTCCTCCTGCAGGCGGCGTGCTGCTGCTTCATTCAAGGCGTCCTCCTCACTTTTGCTGCGGGGTACATCTGCTGCTGATGAAGTGCCCGGTTGCTGGTGCGGCTGCTGCTGCTGCTCAGGCGAGGCGTCATGCACAGGCCGAGCAGCAGGAGATGCACTCAAAGCCGCCGAAGAAGAGTTGCCGCCCACTGGGGAGGGTGCAGCCGTGGGTTCAACAGTCCCACTTGGGTCTGCTGCTGCAGAAGTATCAGCTGCTGCTGTGGCTGCTGCTTCCCTTTCCGCTGCCTCCGCTGCACGCCGCTGTTCCCAAGCCAGCCTGTGCCGGTTGCGGTAGCTCTCATCCATTTTTAAGTGCTGGGGTTAAAATTGCAGCCCTGAGCGTCGTCGCTGCTGCTGTTGCTGCCGCGGCCGCTGCCCCTGCCTTTGGCGTTGCTTCCTCTGCTATAACTGCCGCTGTTTCTGTATTATGGTTTTATGGCGTTACAAGCGGAATAGTACCCGGTGCGCTTGCTGCTGCTTCCCTTGCCGCTTGTCGCGATCCAGCTGCCCCTGTGCGACAGGCGCGGTTCTTCCTGGTGTGGTTGCTGCTGCAATTCCTGCTGCAGTTGCCGCTGCTGCTGCTGCAGGTCGGGCGGAAATCAGCAAATTGAGTTATGAATCTTCTTCTGTTCCTTTTCAGCAAAAATCAGGAGGGTATCTCCTTTGCTGCGCCCCAGCAGCAGCGGCAGCAGGAGCAGCAGCAGCAGCAGCTTCCTGACGAGGGCACTCAGCAAAGGGGACTCAAGTGGGGCCTGTGCCGTTTCCTTTCCCCTCCTTTTCCTGTGTGTGCTGTTGATATGCGTTAATAAAGGGTTTTTAAATAAGCACGGATCTCAAACGTTTTTGTGTCGCCACTCACCCTTGCTGCTGCCTGTGCGGCTGCTGCTGCTGCTGCTGCTGCGGCTGCTACTGCTGGCATGCACATTGGGACATTCCGTTCGTGCGTGGTGCTGTCTCATAACATTCTTTAGGGTTAATTGATGTAGTTACTGCAGTGCATAGGTAGCCCTTGTATTGCGGAACCTCCCACCGCAAGTGGTGTGGGTCTCCGTCGATTGCTACAGGCTTCCGGCCACGCAGAATATTTCTCCTACTCGTACCAGTACATATAGAGACAACCGGTTATGTGTCCTAAAATCTGCAGGATTCCTGCTCTCGGGTACTCGTGCTGGAGTGACAGCCTCTTTGACGAGTCCATATACTGGGACTGGCGTGCATGTTAGCTACTGAGAGCCACCAAAGACTTTAAAAACAACTGGAAGTTAGGTTCTTGCATGCAGTCAAACGACATGACGTGCTATCCCTGCATGGGGTGTTGGCTCTAAAGCATTGTAGCACGCTCTCCTGCATTGTTGTTTGGCCCGAACAAGTAAGAACCGACGTTTATACTGTCGTGTATACTGGCGCTCAGGCCGCCGCCTTAAAAACTAGCTGCTGTTTACAGGTTATTTGCAGTCCGTGTGTGTGCTTCTAGCGGGTTCCTTTGGCTGTACTTGCATGCGGGGTTGCCCTGCTATGTTACTCGCATCTAGCTGCAGCAGCAACTCCGAAGACGCCTGTTGTTGTTCTGCGGCAGCTAAACTCGCCACTAATTGCCGGTCAGAGCGGTTAAATGTTCTCCTCTGCCGTCCTGACTGGCTGTTGCTGATGTTGCTGTTACTTCTGCTTCCAGCTGCGACTGCCTTCACCTTCCCCGTAGCCTCTCCGCCCCCCCCAGCAAGGGGCACATTTTATGGCATCCCAGGGCAGCTATATATTGCAATCCCAACATAAACCGCATCTGGTAGCTAGCTAGGTATCCTCACATGTATATATATTTCTGTAAGTAGACATACCTGCATATCCATATGTATGCAAAGCTATTCGTATATAATACATGTGCCTTTCGAATGCCCCAGTGCGAAGAGACACGCTTCACAGTGCGAACACACACGCTTACTCGTCTATCTGTCCGATACTGTGACCATATGCTATGCGTACCGATGACAATATGGCTTGTGCCACTACATATACGCAGAATATGTTTTGTATATTACTACATATATAATGTGTCCTTTATGACGTATATATATATATATATATATATATATATAT